TGTGTCAGTCGCATAATGGTTTTCAAATGGAATCAAATCTAGAATTTCTCGATTTTTAAAATCAATGAATTCTGCAGGTATTTGAGCTGTATTGTAAATAATCAAAAAAACGGACATTTGCCAAAATAAAGTTTATGCCCAGCCCTTATCAACAACTCCATGCAGGGGAACCCAGCAAACTCGCTGCAGCAGGGGCGCGCTTGCTTTTTTGGAGAAACGTGCAAGTGAAATAATTAAAGTTGGGCTGGCAGCTGCGGAAATTTCCTCATTTTCGATCAAGACGACCGCTCTTTCCGTTTTGGTATTCTGTGCATCAAAGGCACCAAGTTTGTTGGAAACTTGATCAGCACTGATTCATCAAACGCTTCGGAGATAGCCAAGAACTTTTGTTTGAACTTCACTCAATAATCTGAGCTATCTTGTTTAGAGACCTTCGTCTTAAGTTCTGGACATCTTGGAAAACGGAAGGGAAGAAGAATTCGAAACATACGTTTTGCTATATCCTTTTCGGAAAAGGCTTTATCCTTGCCAGCTATGCAAGACTCGGAACTAATGAGCATTTCTCCACCACACCCAAACTCAAAAAGTTTATGCAGTCTTTGTTGGACTTGAGCGTACATCTCAAAGTTTGATCTCTTCACTTCATTAAGCACTCCAATTTGAAATTTTCGTCCGTGCCAACTCTCTAGAAGCTCTACCGAAAAGTACACTGACATAAACTTCTTTCCTCCTGGCCATTTCGATTTTATGTGATTGCAGTGCGTAAAACTCATTGCTGGTCATTTTCGCAGGTATAAAAATTAGTTTTAACTTCGTAGCACGAGCAGATAATAATGATGGGCTTCTATATTATAAAACGGAAGTCCGTAGATGCCGATTGCTGAACTGAGCAATATTCTTTTTTGGATAAAGTTCCATATAAAGTAGCTTATATTGACTCAATATTCTCTTTCTCAATTAGAGCAGCGCAGCTTGAAATAAAAGTAGGGTATTTTGAAACTTCTGTACCACTGCCCTACAAATAATCTTTCTATAATTATTTAAATAATGTCTTCCGGAAGCTTCTTCGTACATAAAACTCATTTGGAACTATGCCAGGAACTATGCCAACGACTTCCCCAGATTTTAGCGCCAGACTCCATGGCTTCTTGATTTTACAGCTCAGCTGTCCTTCCTTACTTTTTCGTTTCTGTTTTTAGGTAAAATGGGAAAATATATGAGAATTATCCCCATCCTCATGCTTGATTAACCGCGCCAGTGCGTTATTACAAGCTTCATTGCCTCATCGGCTGTTCCAACACAGCATTAAATTTCTTGCCATTTTTCTTCGAATTGAGTATTATTTAGAGTTTTTTGGGCGTGTTCCAAAATTCTGTGATAAACAGTAGTGAAAAAGACCAAAAAATCTCACGAAATATAAGGTGTTTGAGAGCCAAAGAATATCACGTTAGGAAAATTTACATCCAGGAATTATTAATAAAGATTTATAGTTCTCTGAATGTCTTAGTGTATAAACTACTGCAGCGAATTCTCTCAAAATGAAAGTATTTAGAGTCAAAAAATGTTACGTCAAATGCGTTCAATGTTTTCATTTCGAATCCTTATAATAATATAGGAGATTATTTTTTTTATGAATGTGCTAGCTACCTGGAAGTCTATCAACCATTTTTCGAGTATCTTGTTGAAGTTTAGCTACTTTGAGGTTTATAGTCAAACTCTTTAGTATTTATGGTTTTGAAAGTCATCAAAGCCACATTATGCAACTTCTCAAACAAAAAAATGGCCTTGAACGAAGAGTTCCCCTCTTTGCCAAGTAACTGTTTGTCCAAAACGCTTTTTCCTTACTGCTCTAGTCATACCTACTCCATGCATCCACAAGATTCCTGTCAACGCATGACATTACGCTGACTACCATTTTGGTATTTTTGAGTTTTTGTACCAGGTTTGTTCTTTATTAGTTTCAGGAATATATGGCAGCTACGCCTGGAATAAAATGATTTACAGTTCTGTCGACAAACCACGACATTCATCTTTCTGACTAGGTTTCCATGCAATTACTCATAAAGAGGGTGTGCTTTAAGGTAGTAAAATCTTCAGGGGTCTCTTAGCTTGGGGCGCTTAACTTGAAAAGAAAGATCTTTGCAGGAAAATTCGCTGATGTGACACTTGGACAAAACCTTTATTCAAAACACCTATTGCTAAGTCAAACTCAGATTGTCATAGTTTGGCTTGGAACAGAAGGCAGGAGAAAAGTGGGCCTTATTTTCCTACACCTCAATTCCTCAGATATTCATCACTTTTGCAATTCCGAAAAAATTACCCTGAGACATATCCCATCCAGTCAGAGCTATCTCACAAAATTGAAAGGGGTGATTGCTTTTATTCTCTCAGCCCCATAGACCACTGAAGTCTAACAGACTTTCTTAGCTTCTCTCACTGTTATCTGCCATTATCCTTCATATCACAACATCCGATGATGTCTAATGATGAATCGACTCTCGCTTTTGCATAAAAATGCCAACATCTGTTCCTGCATCGCGCTAATGTTAATACTATCGTTAGAAATCCACTTAAATTTTTTAGACTTGTAAGATTGAGGAAGGGAGTGAGTCATTTTTAAGTCAGGATGAATTTGGAGAATTCGTTCTGAAGAGGAGAGGGACCAGATGAGCCAAAAGGATCAGAGATTGAGAGCGGCTAGGTGGGGGCGGGGCCGTTGGCTGTCCCGCCGGCCACTGCGAAAGCCCAGCGCAAATGTTTATGAACTCTAACTTTATCTTTCTCCCCCAATTCATCGAACATTCATTTAAATTTCAATTGATTTGATAACAGTCTCTCAGTTTTTTATTACCCCCCCCCCTTTCTCTCCCTCCCCTATTTGAATGTGCGTTTTGCTTTGTGTTACTTAATGGCTTGACTTAATGCACATATACCTTTTTTTCTACTCTTGAAATGAACGGATGCACATGTGGTGCAGGACAAAATGTGTGGAGCAATGTCTGACGGCGTTTGTTTGGTTTTTGAGCATATGTTGCAGATTTTCGACAGGTATTTTGTAAGTCTGAGTTTGGAAAATCAAAAAAAATCAAAATTTATGACGTTGCTATGCTAAGATTACGATTTACTTTACTTTACCACTTTTTTCGATGAGAGGTCTTTTTGTAACATGTCGTCCTTTTTTATTGCCGTTTCTTTTTTTTGCGCATATGTTCCTATTTCAACTCACAGTAAGCTCTTGTAAGTTCTTCATCAATAAATTGAAAACTGATACTTTAAAATGAAGAAAGAAATGCATCTCATTTTCATTTTGCTCTGCATTATATTGCGAACCCGGCGAAATTCTGTTTACAATCTCATAGTTCCCATCTCAGTCTCAAATGCACCTCAGTATAAACACAGTGATTAGTAATAGTTCACAAGACTTCAAGTGCCATTGTGTGAACTTTTGTTTCTCATATTCTATCGTGCCCATGAAAAGCGCTTTTCCTTATTTGGCTTTTTTCTAAAGCTGTTGTAATCACGAAATTATAAGCAGCTCAATTTTTTCTACGGAAAAGTTTACTATCTAACTATTCGCTAGCCAATAATGTCAAAATTTGATTTCTCCCAAAGGTCACCCGCTAAATTTTCCTTTGATGACTGACTTTCCCCTCTTATGCTAATGACTTTCGGTAATGCTGTCAAAATTCCTATCTTTTGCTGCATTTAGAGATATTATAGTTCCGAACAAATATGTTATAATTTTGGAGGAAATGTTTTTTGAATCTCAGATAATCTTCTCTTGATATACATCAATCTTCATTTTTTTGAAGATTTGAACCAGCTTAACTTTAATTTAGGGGTGGAGTTATTGATCATTCGTCAAATGCAGAAATCGTTTTCGTGAAATTTCGCCAGTTTTACAATTTTGAACTATTTCTTCTCCAGCTGGAATGAGTACCAAAAAAGATATGAAGATTTAGATTTAAAGATTTAGCTGCCAATGATTGCGTTATTTACACGCGGCTAAGATATTGGATAAAACTAATTGAATTGCTCTTTGAAATTTTATATTGCTTGTACCGCTTGAATTGTTTTGATGGATTTCAGTTGTTATAAAAAATTTTATTTTTTTGTAGATATTATACTTTTAGTAGAGAACTGCGGTAATTTGTCGGTTTGCGACAGAAAGTATAATAATTTATAATAGGATTTTCAAATACAAAAAAGATTGAATGCATGATATACATGGCTTCTCAGACTTTTCCTACCTGTGATTATGATCGAAATCAACTCTTTTCTTGCAGTAATTATCGCCGATTGATCCAGCCCATGTCACATAAGCTTCTCGGAATAAATCCTTCAGAAAAAAAGAACATTACTGCAGCAATTTGTCAGTTTGCGATTGATTTGTTCAATTGCTATTACTGTTTCTTTTTGCTCAGCTCGATAGCTTAGCTAAAACGTGTAATACTCCCTCACAAGCAGCGGATTTTTTATTCCTTCCGTTTGATTATTTTTTCGAGTTCTTTTTTTAAATTTTGGTACGGTACAAGACAAATTTGCCATTGTTGAATTTTGTACGAGCAAATCTTGTTCTAAGTCTTCAAATGTCCCTTCCTTCTCCCTATAACCCCTCCCCCACTTTTTTCAATTTTTGGCCGTTGTAATGAGCGTTGCATGGGCCGCTTCAATGCAGGTCACCTGTTTGGCCCTCTAAATTTGCTAGTTGTTGATGTAGTTCGGCAAGTAGATGCTCTCCAGTACGGGTAATTTGAGCTCTAAGTTACGCTGGTGTAAAGAATCAATACCTACAAGCAACCTTTGTAAAGACGCACATTTTTCATGAAACGAGCTTGAACAAGCACTAAAATTCAACCTTGACTGTTGTTATTCACACGTTCGCACCTTTGTTCGAGAGCAGTTGTTCGTAATTTTTCAAAATTTTACTACTTTTGGTGTGTTTTTGGTGTGAATGTGACTTGTCTAATCATAGGCTCATTTTTTTTTCAGGAAAATATATGGGTGATCGAAAGCCGTCGAAGACTTTGAACGATCGTGAGTTTGTCGTTTATTGCACTCAAATTGAACTTGTTTGTTTTCAGTAAGGTTGTTTGAATTTGATAAGAGTCTAGAAAATCACGCGCATTTTAAAAATGTACTTCTCATTACAAAAAGTTCAGTCATTAGCCTCGAATGAAAAAAGGAATAATTTTGTACTTCAACTGGATTTTGAAATATAAGAAAAATATGAAGGAATAATGGATTTCATTTCTTTCCTTACTGATAGTATGAGTACGAAAGCATTCTAAAATTAGGCGTTATTTGAGTAAAATTATGTACAAAAAAATTCTCTAAATCTCAAGCCAATCGTTTTGACATAAATGTTGCTGTATATTTGCCTCATCTTTACAAGCCTCATAATTTCTATGAACAAGTTAATCGGGTGTTTTTGCTGTCTATTACAAGAATGAGAAAGCGCCGTAGTATCTATTTTTGAGATATTTTCTCTTTCTTTGAGGAAATTTTAGTTTTATGTTTTCGACCTTCTTAACTACAAAAAATCATATGAGCATTGATTACCGTTGAATTGCAACGTGTATGTCCTTATTCATATAATATTCTCACACTTGCAAAAGTCCTCCATCAGTTCACTTAGGTTTCTAAAAAATCTTTTCTCCAGTTAAAAAACCTTATTTTGCTTTTTGTACAAAATTCAGTAGGCTAGTCTGACAATTTTCCTCTGAAACAATAGCTGAAAAGCAAGTTCTCAAATACTGTAGTAATTAATTATAAACATATAAAAAAGCCAATATTTGGAAGTTTCGATGATCTTTTTTCCAGATCTCATGACGGAGGTGCGTGAGACTCCTCCACGTGAACAATGGAGTTCTTGGGCAGACTTCATCATGAGCTGTATAGGTTACGCTATCGGGTTGGGTAACGTGTGGAGGTTTCCTTACCTGTGCTACCAGAATGGAGGAGGTAAGTGTTAGACAGGTGGGCAGAGTGGGAGAGGAAAGTGAAGAGATGGTGTAATTGCGTCATTTCACATTTGTCGCCTTTTTACTTCAAATTGGTCATTTCTTGGATGCATGATATGGAGATTAGAACCACATGTAGAAGGCTGAACGATGTGATTGTTTCCACATGCTAAGTCTAATTGTACTTGGTGATTATAATCAGGGGCTAAAATTCGCAACAGTAGAGACTGCGAAAGGGAAGTTTTCGCTCCTCAGTCAAGGGTTACAAGATATTATTATCAACGGGTGATTAGTAACAGCTGCTCGATGCGAAAAAATTAGGCATTTATGCAAAAACAATGAGTGATTGATCGATTCTCACGATTGAGGGTATGGGATTTTCCTGGTTCGAAAATTCTTCAGGGATTCCCTTCGACCCCTCATGGTTAGATCCATAGGTTTTTCTCACTTTGTTTGCTATCCACTTAAAAAAGGAGAGAGCGATCGAGATTTCTGTTCAGTGGATTATTTTGACCTTGGTACTGATACTCGATAGTTTTTTTCACAACAAATTTTTGTGAGGAGTTATGTGTGTTTCCTGCGCTTCCTACTATCAAAGTCTTTCTTGAAAACAGTGTAGGAATTATCTGTGTATAATGGACTTAGACTTCCACAGGCGCCAAGTGCGAACTTTGAGAGATAAGTCAAAAAAGGGGATTTTTTGTCTGTATCCGGAGGGGAGGTTGCAGATGCTGCGTACTTCTGAGCTACTGTTCTTAGCATACAATACCGCTCAAAGAACGTGCAAAATTTCCGTGGATGTCGCGGAATTCCCGTAATTTCGTCGAGGTCATTCAAAGCAGAATGCATTTTTTATGAGCGGTATTGGGCAGTCATCTACTTTGAAAGTGCCAATCTGCATAACTGGAGGGATCAAGCGGAGATCAGAATACGAGTTTACCTTATTCGCACACTCCTTTATTTCACATGGAAAGTTAAATCTCCCGCCCTTGAATGTGTGATAATTTCCTACGTGTGCTTTTACACCTTCTTGAAAATTAAAAGCAAAAATGGTTTCGTGAAGAAGATCTCGAGGAAGTATCTCCGCATTTCCTGTTAAAATCCAATGTGTTTACTCGCTAGTTATAAGCGAACTTTGTAGCCTTGTTCCTTAGTATCATTATTTTTTAATCTCTCTTGGAAGGTGTGGGAATCATTAAGAAACACGATAGTTTCAAGCACAGCTCTGCAACTGAAGCATGACAGCTGTCGTAATTTTTGAGAAATTTGAAATCTTAGTGAGTTACCAAAGATTGGAGAAATGTTCAAAAATAAGTGTTCAAATTCGGAATTTGTAAATCTATCATTTTGCTTTGAATCTATTATATTGGCTAAATAAGTTCTTTTCAATGCAAATTCAAAGCTTCATAAGAATTCACGTAACAGCTATCCTGCTCTAAAATTTTTTCGATAAAAGATTTTTTCAAGCCTCTACTCTCAAATGCGAAGTTTTCAAGATTTTCTGCCACCAAAATATGACACTTACACCCTATATGGTCAGACTTCTAAAAAATCGTTTTTTAACTTTCTAAGTCTCGTTCTCAACCTGCAGTGAATACACAGGCGAGGGATTCTGAGGCCGGATACACACAGCCTCTGACTAGGTGACGAACCACAATGAAAATTGTGACCTTCTGTTTTTGAATTTCATGTGAAAATTTCCAGGAGCTAGCGCGCGAAAGTCAAATTTTGGGCATTCCAGATCGCTCGAATTTAACCATCTATGGCCATGCAAATGGTTGGTATGGTAGTTTGTTGTGTGGGCGCCGAATCTATATTTTACACCTGACTTCAGTTCGTCTTTGGGAGCGTGATTTTTCGGAAATTTGGGGGAAAACCTGACTACTTCTTTCTCGCACTATTTTGTTATCAAAAAAATTATTTTTGAGAAAACAGATCAACAACCGATTCTACTAGATTTGCGCTTTCTAATGGTACCATATATATGCATAAAACCTGATTTATGGCAATTCTACAAACCGCATAAAAACGACCGAACTTACTTTTCAGCCAACCTAACAGTACATTTGTAAATAAACTTGAGAAAAAGAGTAACTCAACACGAGAATTACCTGAAATTTATCCAGAAAATAAGGGGGAAAGTGTTAAGAAGTTTCATACTTCTACACTCATGCCTGCAAGATTCAACGGGGAGCGAGTATTGTAGATGTGAGAGAAGAATAGCCCAGACCTTACATTTTCGTTAAATGTTTCATAGAAGCTCTTTCTTAACGTTTTTTCTTCTCGTAACTCATAGTCCCAGAGACTCTAGGCATTCTCCACTCCATCATGGACTACACAACAATGTCTTGGATACAGAACCTTCGGAGCTCAAGCCTTGCCACGGACACGGCGCGATTGCGCGACCTCGTGAGGTGGCTGCAAAGAGGAGCCGGCTGTTTCTGTTGCTGTGTAAGACAAAGAATCGTTGTAACGATTCGACACGGCACCAGGGCGAATCGCCCGGAGCAGACGGCATGACAATCCGATTAATCGCGTGCTCTTCGTTTGATTCATCGGCTCGACGATGTCCCAATTGATCAATCATCCCGAGCAATTACTTAGCCGGGGGACTTTTTCCAAAGAATTCTTTGATTATGAACGATCAGCAAGGGTAGCGGATCATTTTCTTGACGAGTTGACGTCATGTGACATTCCTAAGGTTACCCAAAGCCTTTTTTTTGGAAATCTGCTGCCATGCTATAGCGAATGGGCAGCGCTCTGGCTAAAAACATTGAACAGCTGATATGAAGCTACAAACAGAATAGTTAAGTATCGTATTTCATTACTAAGCCCGGGGTGTTAGGTGGAAGAGAAAAAAAGAGGAGCGAAGGTAGGGTAGAAGTGCAGAAGGGACTAGGGAGAGGAGGAGAGAGAATTCTATCAAACAATTGACAACTGCAAACAGTTCGGTCTTCATTTACAGGCGCTTTCCTCATTCCGTATGTGATCTCATTGGTGTTTTGCGGAGCACCATTATTCATTCTCGAAACATCATGGGGACAATTGCTCTCTGTTGGTGGACTTGGCATGTTCAAGATATGCCCAATATTCAAAGGTTAGTTCTGTTACAAACAAATAGTTGGCGAGAATGAAGATTTTCAAATATTTTTTGGTGTCTCTATGAAATGATTCTCGTATATCCGCATCGTCTCTTAGCCATGTTTTGAAGAATAGATTTCTTAATCTTTCGGTACAGATACTTCCTTTTCTCCTCGCCATATGTTGTTTTCTTGAAAGCTTTTCAGTTGTCTTTTAGTTTTATGCTTACAAATTGAGTGTATCACTCAAAATCACTCTTGCTTGGTATGGAAGCTTAACAAGGAACAGTCTTCTTGATATCTTTATTGAGAAAGACATTAATAGCTTTATATTACTCTTATTTCTGAAACTCATTGACACAATTTTTTTAAAGCATCAATTACTCCGACCTGTTATTTTTTCTATAAAAATGAAGCAGCCTATAGCTACTGTCTAACGAATCACACTCAAACGCATTATGTTCCCATTTTCAAGCATTGGCTTTCAAAATTTGTACTCCGCATATCCACAAACAAAAAAGCCAGTAATCTCCTTAGGCTTTCTTTTGAGCACTACCATTACATGATCTGAGCCAAATTTTATGTACTTCATGCAGCATACAAAAAGCTAATTATAAAACATGACCCCTCAAAGTTATCAAATAGAAAAACTACGTTGTTCGCATTTTTTTCACAAAAATAGTGGAAAAATATGCAGGCATGGTGCTTTTATTTCAAATACCCTGGCGAATGGTAAAATAGCAGTAAATGTGGCAACCTGTATTGCACATTTGATTTGTTGAACTTGCCAAAAGTTGGTCACCACGGTCCTAGTTTGTCACAGTTTGGTATACAACTTCTCACTCAAAGGCATTTATGGGCTCCCAAAACCTTATTAACTTTGCAACATCATGAACAGCTTTTCAAAGGTTAGGTTTATTTTGGAATACCACAAGTCACAATCTATTAACTGCTTCAGTGGTCTGAAAGTTCAAACTTTGCTTAAGCGTTTGATTGCAAGCCAAAAAATTACGTACCTACTGCGATTACTATCTCTTGCAGGAGGTCCAGAATTTCGAAGCCTTTTAAAATATTAAAGCTTCTTGGATTCAAATTGTTGCATAATCTTCTTTCACTTTATGGGAACTATAAAATACTACGATACGAAAATGCTATCTACACTTATTTCCATTCTAGGCGTAGGAATCGCTGCTGCTGTTATGGCTTTCTGGTTGAACATCTACTATATTGTAGTGCTTAGTTGGGCACTGTGTTATCTTTGGAACTCTGCCAGACTGGATGTGAACGTCCCGTGGAGGAACTGCGACAACGAGTACGGTTCGATTATCTTTAGCTAACTGAATTTCTTCGAGTCTTAGGAGATGCATGCTCATCTTAATCGTCGCATAATAAGATGTTTTCCAAAATACTATTCAAGTCAAAGCGTGAATATGTACCAAACTCGGAAAATGGCAAAAATATATAAAAATCTGTCTGCATTCAGTTTGAAATAAGGTAATATACTACTTTTGATCATAAAAGTAGGTGTCAAGCATAAAGGTAAATTCTACAATTCTCAACGTTTTACTATTTTCTTTTTTTTATAGCGCTCAAGCCGCCAGGTGATATTTTCAAAGTCAAAACGAGAACTCTGCGCTGAACAGAGCAAGCAATTACAAATGTATTTAAAAAGCTTTGACTTTTTAGGTGGAATACGCCAAGGTGTCGATCAGAATATGAGAAATTACCATGTGATAGCAATCGCACAATTGCAGATTTTTTCAATGTTAAAGTAAGAAAGGCCTTAATTCTACAATTACTTCTGATATCTATGAAATGTCCATTACAGGTGCTAACGGCCGACCATCTTATGGAGTACAAGAAACAATTTTTTGTTGGCCCAAAAGCAAATTTTACTGTATGCACAGCTGCTGATCTCAGTGTTCAATCACCAGTAAAGGAATTTTGGAAGTAAGCCAATTCTCTAGCTAGCGTTCTCAAAACGAAAAAGTGTTTTTTCTAGCTTTAAAGTGCTAGGAATCTCAGATGGTATAGAGCATCCAGGAGGGTTGCGCTATGATCTCGCGTTGTATCTCTTTATTGCATGGGTTATTTGCTATCTCTGCATCTTCAAAGGAGTGAAATGGACTGGAAAGGTAAGTGATCCATTAGAAAATGCGCATATCTATCAAATCTACCAAAGTGAGTCGAATGATTTTTGATCCGAAAGTTATTGTTTGGTTTTTGCATTTTTCTGCATACTTGACTGTCTTTTTTGCAAACTTTGCGAATAGCCAAAAACGTTTTTCGTCCTCATTGTAGATGTGAAATAATCTTCAAAAAAAGAGCTTAGAAGTTACTCAAAATCAACTAGAGCTTTCCTGATCAATTATCAACTGGAACAATGCTCATCAAAATTACTTTGAACTGCTTTACACAACTTCGTGTGCTACCTTTCAATAGGTACTTCAAAAGTAATGAGCTATGTAATGGTTTTTCAGGTTGTTTATTTGACAGCCTCGTTCCCATACATCATGTTGTTCTTCCTACTCGTTCGGGGTCTCACGCTACCAGGAGCGTCACTTGGCCTAGAATTCTACTTGAAACCTGATTTCTCGAAATTGCTGGAATCAAAAGTGCGATTTAGCCATTTATTTACGCAGCCACTGATCCTCATTCCGAATTTGAGAATCTTTCTAGGTGTGGGTAGACGCCGTCACGCAAGTGTTCTTCTCTTATGGTCTCGGTTTGGGCGCTTTGGTAGCCCTAGGCAGCTACAACACTTACCATAATAATGTGTACAAGTAAGCAACTGAATCACCTTGAATTCCGAAATTGAAATCCCACATCTAGGCAAGCTTTGACGGTGTGCTTTGTGAACAGCGGCACAAGTGTGTTCGCTGGCTTTGTCATCTTCTCATTCATTGGCTTTATGGCTACACAGCAAGAAAAGAGTGTTGCTGAGGTAAGCTGCATTTATTGTTTTGATAGGATAGAATTTAAGTGTTTCCTACAATACTGTGTAAATGAGACAAGAGAATGAATCGTGAGAAAGTTATCCGCAGGACTCTTTAGCTCGATAAAAAAGAGACCTGAGAAAGAATTATCGAAGGGCAAACCCTTTTGTCCTTTACAGCCAATTCGGCATTGCATAAGAATTTGAGCTATGTTCGATTTGCTTAAGAAGCTGAGGACCAAAACTCAAAGTCATTGATGTAAGAAAATGGCTGGACAGACATTTTTGCGGTAGCATTGTTGACCAAAAATGCCGAAAAAGACAACATAAGAACCAAGAGAAAAATGATCGTAATATAAGTTTTTAATTCAAAGTACGAAAATATATTCAGCGAGATTAGTAACCATGGCGGCTGGAAGGCGGGACTTTGTGATCTAATTAAGGCCGCTCGCGCTCGCGACGCAGTCTGCGTCTCCTTCGCGCCGTGCTCTCTGGTCATTATCAGCCTCTAGGTCACGAAGCCCCTCCTTCTAGCCGCCAATTCAGTTGAATCGAAGTGTGCATGTTTGCTTTTCCATGAAAACGCTGTCATTTGACTCAGAAAAATTACCATTTTTACGGGGTATCAGTGCTTTTCTAGAGCAAATATGCTCCAGTCAATCATACTTCTTCTCTGATGAACATAAGCAAATATCCGAAATAATCTTTGACTATTCAAGGTAGCTCAAGCAGGACCTGGACTACTGTTCCTGGCCTATCCATCGGGAATTCTTCAATTGCCATACACAAATGTATGGTCAATGCTGTTCTTCTCAATGGTTCTTTTCTTAGGAATCGACTCACAGGTATGAATAAACAAATTTTGACCCTATGAAAAACCTTGATCTAGAAGTTTTCTTAATACCAACAAAATTTTTTTCCAGTTTTGTACCATGGAAGGCTTCTTCACGGCTATCATTGATGAATTTCCCCAAATGATTCGTAGAAGGAAATATGGGCGAGAAATTTTTGTCGCGGCTATTTGCTTGATTTCTTATCTTATTGGATTGAGCACAGTTACGAGGGTAGGTTTTTCGATTATTAAGATAGTTGAGTAAGAAAAAAAATGAGAAATGGAAAACACGAAAGATTTCTATTCATTTTTGTATCTGTTTTTATACTAATCGGCGTAGCTATCTTATACTGTTTTAAAGCTGATTTCTTTGCATCTTCTTCGCTTTTCTTCAAACTCTTCTTCTTCCAATCAAATCACAGTTATCGATATTGTATGCGTACGGTACATACAATCCCAAGCTCACCTGACTCGAATTGCGATATTCGTAGTTGTTGATTCAAAGACCGTGAATGACAAATGATTGGACACTATGTACACATTGTGGCTATCAGATTGATGAGTTGATTTTGATCGGAAGCAGAGTAACAGCTGTTTTGTACAAAAACATTTGGAATCTTTGTTATCTAAAAAATCCGGAATTCATACTTTTTTAGGGCGGCTTCTACGTGTTCCAACTTTTCGACTTCTATGCCGCTTCCGGGTGGGCTCTGCTATGGTTGCTGTTCTTCGAATGTATTGCTATCTCATGGAGCGTAGGTAAAAGCCCTTGTTCTAACCTTTTTCATCGCAGTAAAAGATTATTTTCCAGGAATTGAGCGATGGTACGAGCACATGAAAAGCATGATTGGCTACTATCCAAGTCGATGGTGGAAATTTTGCTGGGTGTTTGCCACTCCGGCTGTTTGCATGGTTTGTTTTCTAAAAATCAACTGAATCTTTCATAGCAGAGAACAAAGCATAGCCACAAGCCTTCAACGCAGAAATTTTGCCAGCTTTTTATTAATGGCATTATTCTCCCTTATCTTTTTATCTGGCGCATTTTTGCTTTCAAAATAGGATTAAACGGATATTTCTTACTATACATCTTTGCAAAACGTTGACAAACTGAGTTGTGGAACCACTATGAGAAGAAGGAGAACCATATCACTTCATATTGCTCTAAATTTTCCTTCAACCAGAGATATTATGTACATTTGGCGTAAGCCAAAACCTTCACAAAAAACTGGATCACATTTCCTATCGAATACTGCTCAGAAAAAAATGGTCAAGTCGCGTTAGAAATTGAAGAAATATTCCTGGATTTCTAAATGAGACTAGTAAATTGTCGCAGATTCTGTCTATTCTTTTTATAACAGTTTCAACTACTCCCAGATCTAGCCTAAAAGGAGTTCTCTATGAAACTGAAGCACAAGATTCGGATTGTTGAAAGCCCTATCTATCTTTTTCATTGACAGCCCTATCTATCTTTTTTTTTCAATCTTATTGTTAGACCAAGGTGAAAGTGCCGAAAGGAGCGCGCGAATAAAAGTGATAGGGTGATCTATGTCTTTCTTATCATCAAAGAGTCGGAACGACAAAAACAGCAGCAAGAAGTCAGCGTATGAGATTATCTCTAGCATCCAAAGAATAGTAAGAAAGCAAATCACTGCCATTAGCTTTGCTGAAACTCAAATGATGATGCATAGGTAAGAAAAATCTGTGAAATAGAAGTTGATGGAAGGATCACATCTACAAGTTTCGTGTCTGTCTCTTTACTTCTAATGATGTTCTCAATTCTGCACTTAATCAGAGATGGCATTTTACTTCAGTCGTAGTTTTCTCTACCAACGAAGAGCAAAAGCGTGCTTTCCAGCCCGTTAAACTTTTGGTGATGATCAATCAAATTTTCAGGAAGAAAAGTACAATTAGATTCATCAAGATCTAGCTTTTGACTTAAAGAACGTGCTATACTGTGGAAAGCACTTGAATTTACTATTAAATCCAGTACACATGAGCTGGAATTCGGGTCTCTTGAAAATAAAATAAATCCCTCCACTTCCGAAAATTTTACGATTTCTTTGATGGAAACAATTTTCGACGTTTTAAGAAAGTGTACAATCGGGTGCTGAAAATTATTGATTGTTGAAAATAATATACTCTTCACTTTTTATGCGACTTACTTTTACTTTATGAAAAAACTATTTTTGTTTTTGGACCACTTAAAATCCCGCGCATCAGTTTTCGTTTTTGCCCTATAGATGAGGTAATCCAGTTAGCCGAAGCTATCGTGATGAGACCTGTATGGGTTCATTTCGAAGGTTTGTCAGTAGGTATATTCTAGTGATTTTTTATACGCCCATGCAATGCCGAAAACACACGGCCGTGGTGCAAAATCTGGAAATTTTATTTGGGCTTTTTTGGGTTTTTTGATGTGCAAATGTTGTCAGCAGCGGAGAGACACTATATCATTGAAGCTATTGGAATATACGTCATGCAGGAGATAATTTATAACGATATGAATCACTAAATACCAGTGTGTGATATTTTTGTGGCAAATTTTCATAACCCATGTAGTAGCCCTTTAGAGTGAAAATGGTCAACTCTATCCATATTTGATACATCTATTATTAGCCGATGCTTTCGGTATGTTGACCTCACACCTCTACCAATGCCAGCGGCGCCTGCTGGTGTGGAGGAGCTGTCAGCGGTTGCGAACAGTTGTCGTTGACAGCCTGGTAGATGCGCGATATCAATTTGTCTCGCTTCATCGAGTGAGGGAATCAAAACGAAATGCTGGTCCAACCATATGAAAACATATTTCCCAAAAATGTGTTCGTTTCAGGGTGTCATGATTTTTGGTCTGGTGAAATATCAGCCGCTGCGAATTGCCGCCTACAACTATGACTATCCGTTCTGGGGACACGTTTTCGGCTGGTTTCTCTCGTTGTCGTCGATGCTCTGCATACCCGGATATGCGATCTATGCTTGGGTCACCACCGATGGAACGATCTCAGAGGTGCCTGGGTTTGGGTAGAACATTGACGCTTTAATCTCAAAACTTTTCCTTAGAAATTCAAAATTCTCTGCCGTCCGGACATCGAAATTGAGAAGGCAAACCAGCAGGATGGGCATGACGACACAGAATTGCATGACTTTCATCAATTACTATGATATCAAGAGAATTACGTAGTTACTCTGGTCTGAGAGACTCTTCCATACTCTCTCGTCTAGTATTGCCACTAGCCGTACTTGTTCTCGTTCGAACATTCCTCACCTTTGTTACCCATCTTTATGTCTCGTTACTTAAGCCTTAACGCTGAATTTTCCCAACATTTCCATCTGTTTCTCCGTTTCTACGACTTCGTTGCTGTTTCCATGTTCATCGCAATTTCTGGACTAAGAGCCACACTTACGATTTCCCATTGTTCCATACTACGAGCGCTTTCTCAAGCAGCTACCATACTTCTATAAACTGAGTACTCAAGCACGTACTTCGATGCGGACCAAGTTGGCATCAAGCACTCGGCTGCGGCACTCATCGCAAACACGTTTAGCAACTCCTAGCCCCGGAGAGACAGAAAGAGGGTTCAAATATGTGCAGAGCTAATACAAACACTGTATCATAAGTTTCTATGTCATAATCACAATTATTTTCATTGTGTATAGCTTTAGAGTTTGTCTCGAATGAAAGGTGCTGTGAGAAAAACTGAAGAAATTATGCTGTCAGATTTTGTCACTAATAAATATGAAATTTACCAATAAATATGAGGTATTTGAAAGCTCCGAAGCTGTTTATCACGAACATATATGAATGTGCGGATGTTTTATTCAACAAGGAATGTTATGTATCTTAAGATTATACCAGCCCAGGAAATGTGACATGGATTTATAATTACTCCAACTGAAGTATAAAAGTAAATGACTTTTCGAACGAGATGAATCTTTCGTATATTTATTTATTTATTTATTGATACGTGCAAAAACACGTGAGTAGAAATAGTAAAAGGAGAGTCTTGCAATGGTATAAACCATAGTATCAGTGCATGAAAAAGACATCAGCAAAGGATATACATATAATAACAATTACAGCACAAGACAATGAATTGGTTTCACGATTAGGAAATAGGACGATTTGTAGTAAAAAATTTAGCTAATGTTTTTTGAAGAGCACCTTGTGCCAGTAGTCTGTTAAAATCGGAAATTATCCTCACAGTGAAAAGTGGGACCAGGGCCCGGCACGAGGTCGGCAAATGACAAGCTGGAAATCGTTTTGGAGCCAAAAAGCAAAGGGGAAATCGTTTTTGCCGGGTCCGGGCGGAGCCCCGGAAAAAAATTGGCAGTTCATGCTCGCTACTTATCTTGACATGTTATGTGCCTCAACAGGCGAACACTGGAGTTCGCGCGCGTCAAACCGCGCCGTCGCTAATTGCCGCACGCGCGACGTCGCCCAAGCGATGCTATTTGTAACAGCATGCATGACTAGTTCTCAATGTATGTGTAACGATATGACACCAAATTTTGTATGCGAACGAAGAGAGGCTAGTGGAAACATAGTATGAAAAATTATGTAAAACTAATGTGAACGGAACGAGTAATTAGCATTTTTTCCGAGAATTTCGCAAAACTGGTAAATGAAGATGTGAATTCAAACGGCTCGTTTAAATGCGCAGATGAACGATAACTTGGTAAGTAAATGCACACGGGCTTGCAGGGCTTAACTGAGGAGTTTCATTGAAAAATTATGTGACTGAAGGTTGTGGCAAACTTTTATCTGAAAATTTTGCGCTACCAAAGAAATGGAAAAATGGCTCGTTTGCAACGCAGAGGTAACGAAATCGCGCGGGATTCGGTGTGTATATGCGCAATAGGACTAAGTAATAAAGTATGAAATATTATGAAAAACTTACGTGAATGAAGAGTTTCCTTAACTAATTTCCAAATTAGGTCGCCATTTGCCGACCTAATTCCCACCTGAGGTCGGCAAAACTCTCAATTCACATAATTTTTTCAAAATTTTTACATAAATCTGTTGTACACCTAAAGTTTACTACATGGTGAAATTTTGGTTCCGAAGCTCCTCCTCTTGTCCTTGTTAGAGCCCAAAATCGCATCAGCAGCCTAGCTTTCTAAGATGGAAAGCGCGCCCCAGTCAATCGATACGCGCGGGAACGGCGTCTCTCATTCCTATGACTGCGTTTCTTTGATATTTTCTCATTCCTTAATCATTTTTCTTGCTTATTTTTCTTCCTGTTTCCTATCTTGATACAGCTGACGAGTAATTTGAGGAATTTGAGCAATTTGGGCGCCTTTGAGCGCTTTTGGGCGAAGTGTGGCCGGTAATCTCGTCGCACAAGCACAAAACGTCATTTTTGGGCTCAAGGGGGTATTCGTATAATTTATTGGGATCAAAGGGAAATTCGTTTTGGAAAACCCCGTTTTCCCACCTCGTGCCGGGCCCTGAGTGGGACCTGACATGCGATTTTGTTTTGGGAGCTCTTAGTTTCAGTGAACCTCCTCTAGTTCTAGAGTTGTAAACGTTGAAAATTTTGAAAAATCAATTTTGCATCTTCCTGTTAACATCTTGAGAGCCATGGAAAGGTCAAATTTTTTCCTTCTGAAAGGGCTGTAAGGACTGCTGTTTCGACGGATTTACCTTTACAAAAACCATGTTGACATGGAGAAATAATGGAGTACTTTTCTAAGTGTGAGACAATCTGTTCCTTCAATACTTTTTCGAATGTTCTAACAAATATAGAAGTTATGCTTATTGGCCTATAATTTTTTGAATCGTTGTTGGGCGGTTTCTTCGGGATGGGGGTTACGAGAGAGTGCTTCCACCTGTCAGGGACTTCACTTCTCATGTAAGACAGGTTGAATAGAAACTCTAGAGGAAAACCGATTTCAGGGAGCACCTCTTTGATGAAAAACAAAGGTATTCCATCAGGGGTCACTGAAAAAGAACTAGGATATTTGGAAAGGATTGTGACTATTTTGTCTCTTGAGAGATAGACTGATCTCATTTCCGGGAACATAGGAGCTGGGTCATAAGTTGCAGATGAACTTTTACTATAGACTTTCTGGAATTCTTCAGCTAGGAGATCAGCCTTATCCGTGTCGCGTAACAGAGATTTTCCAGAACTATCCACTAGCGGATATGAGGCATATTTATCCACAAGATGAGTTCTCATATAACGAAAAAACCCACTTTTATTCTTGGATAGAATGAGTTTTTTCTCCAGATGTATGTGGTATTTATGTGAAGCTCTTTCAAGTTTACAATTGGATTTTCGGAAAGCAGACCAAGCTTCGATACTTCCACAATCAACAGCACGATTCCAAAACATATCCTGTTTCTTGATCATGTTTATAAGGTACGATAGTAAACTTCGTTGATTTTCCAGAACTCTACATAATGGGATGAACTTTTCTACTGCATGTTGTAAAATGGCAAGAAAAAGTTCATACATTTCATTCGGAATTCAAGGGTGTAAAACAACTCAGCCAGTCAATGCTTGATAAATACTCTCGCACAACGGAGTAGTTCGCACTCTTAAATCTCCCGCTTCTTGATAAGGATTTCTGTAGCGGGAGTGTAAGGCACTCGGAGGGAAAAGCTAATTGTGGAGTGATCATTGGTTCCAATTGGGGAGCATATTTCAATATCAGCAACCAGATTAGGACGATTGCAAAAGATAAAATCAAGAACGGAATTTCCTCTGGTGGAACCTTTGACAAGCTGCACAAAGCCATGGGTAGTAACAAAATCAGTGAATATCTCTGTAGAGTTGTACGGAATCGTGGAAGGGTTTGATGCGAATTCGATATGGGGAAGATTGAAGTCACCTAGCAAGATAGTGGGACCTTCAAAAGCACTAAAATCACTGAGTGCTTTTTTTAGATTGATGAGGTCCGTGGCGCTACAGTTTGGCACCTTATAGATCAAAATCAGTCGTACTGTTTCGCTTGAAAATAAAACTAAAATTTATTTATATTTATTTATATGAAATACATCGTAGGAACGATGTGCTATTACACAATCATAGTCATAAACCAAAATACTGCATACAATAAAACGACTGGGAGAGAAAAGGCAAAGTTCAAGTTTGGCTCTAGCTTTCGCATTGTATCGCCCTTATATGTTAGTTGATAAGATGATGTTGAGACATACGGTATAGAATGTATGTATACTTTGATAGGTGGTAAGAATTGCTCTCAGTTGCAGAGATTCAACACATTATCAGGGACTTTGATTTCAGGGTTGAGGAGATATAGTTAATAGATTATACTGCACAAGAGCAACGGAGATATATGAAGTAGTTGGTGTGAAAGACCACTTTCGTGTGGTACGTGATGCAGCAATCCATTGGCCAAATCACTGATCCATCCATCCATCGATCCATTGTCCTCGTACATACATACATACACACATACATACATGTGTTAAATTATACTCCATTTTCTTCGTGTTTGTGCAAACAAACTACCAACTAGATGTAAGATCGAAGTCTCCAACAATGTAGTTAGGTATATACGCAGGACTGAATTAGTGCATGACTGATAACTTGGTTGTATATTTTTCTTGTACAAGTAAGATAGGAGCTCTTTCAAGATAGTTTAGTTTCAGGAATAAAAAGCTCTAGATAAGGCGATACAATTTGAAAGCAGGGAATAGCAACTAGAATTATTTGCATTTCATCTCCAAAACATGGTACAAAGTTATTATAATACAACGTCCTCCATTCCTAATAGTTGTAGAATATCCACTTTTTCAAAGCATTCTTCAGTTGAGCACTTGAATTTAAAGATAAGAAAGAAGCCGGTAGCTTGTTCAAAATTGAGATTGCTCGATAAAAAAAGTTGTTGCGCTGTAGCGAAATATTGTATCGTCCAAATCTAGAGATAGTCAAATTAAAAGAGGCTCGACGTTCATTGATAGGCCGAAAGACCCAGTATTTGCTGGGTTTCAAACCTAGCTCAGCTCGCAATATGTTAAAGGCCATAAATATATCAGCTAAAAATCTTCTATAGAAAAGAGTTTTGAGATCGAGCTTGCGCAATCTGGTTTTTATAGTCAGGTAGGGCAAGAGGGTAGTCAGGGTTTGGAAAAGCGCGATAAAACACAATCTTTGTAAAAGCTTTTTGAACTTTCTCAATTTTTTCGATATCTTTTTTCAAAGTTGGGTTCCAGACGTGGCTGCAATATTCTACTACTGGAAGAACAAAGGTTTTATATATTCTGAGCAGAAAATTAGGATCAGATGACTGAATAGCGCGAAGCAACGTATACATTATTTTAGTGGCACGTGAAGTAATTTCGTCTATGTGTTTTGAATAATTCAAACCAGATTCGACATAAACGCCCAAATCCTT